GGGGGGGAGCGGAAGAGAAGGCATGTGTGAGAGGAGGAGGAGAGAGAGAGAGACAGACAGACAGAGAGGAATGAGAGAGAGAACAGACATGGGTCATTCCTGTTTCTTTTTTTTTTGGTTCCCCCTCCCTTCCCCTGTTCCCCTGTCAGAGTCTTAAACCAGCAAACTCTTTTCACGATAATTTTTCCTCAATGATGTCTTTGAGCCCTGTGCTTACCAGAGTGTTATCCTCCCTTTCAGGAACTTTGACACGGTTGTGGAGAGGTTCGAGTCCATGACTCCACCAGGCAGCCCCCTGGTCTCTGACGCTGAGGATGACTCCTCGACGCAGTCTAGTTCTGTAAGTGTCCCAAGTTTCTCGTCTGGTTCTTTGTCTCAGTGTCTTGTCTAATTCTGTGTCTTTGTGTTTTGTTTACTTTTGTGTCTCCGTCTCTTGTCTAGTTCTGTAAGTGTCCCTGTGTCTTGTCTAGTTCTGTGTATTTGTGTCTTGTCTAGTTTTTTGTCTCAGTATCTTGTCTAGTTCTGTGTCTTTGTGTCTTGGCTGGTTCTGTGTCTCAGTATCTAGTCTAGTTTTGTGTCTTAGTGTCTTGTCTTGCTCTGTAAGTGTTCTGAGTGTCTTGTCTAGTTCTGTGTCTTCGTGTGTTGTTTACTTTTGTGTCTCCGTGTCTTGCCTAGTTCTGTAAGTGTCCCCAATGTCTCGTCTGGCTCTGTAAGTTTCTCAGTGTCTTGTCTAGTTCTGTGTTTTAGTGTGTTGTTTACTTTTGTGTTTCAGTGTCTTGTCTTGTTCTGTGTTTCAGTGTGCTGTTTACTTTTCTGTCTCAGTGTCTTGTCTTTTTTGTTTCAGTGTCTTGTCTAGTTCTGTAAGTGTCCTGAATGTCTGGTCTCGTTTTGTAAGTTTCTCAGTGTCTTGTCAAGTATTGTAAGTGTTTCAGTGTCTTGTTTAGTTCTGTTTCAGTGTCTTGTATTGTCTGGTTCTGTAAGTGTCTCAGTGTCTTGTTGCAAGTGTTTCAATGTCATCATGATGCTCTACACGATGCTGAAAACTTTCCAGAAAATTATAAGTTCTTTTGAAGTCATAATGAACTTGGGGAAGCTAATTTTCAAGTAGGGAATGGACTATACAAGTGCAGTCTAGTATTATTGTACTATGACTTTGGTTTTTTCTGATTATTGTGCTTATTAATATTGTAATAATGGGGATGATGATGATGAATATATTATTTCTATCATAACTATTACTGCTGTTTTTAGAAGTTTGCTGTTATTTTACTCCACATTGCTTCATGGTGCACATAGGGTAGAAAATAGTGGTTGTCCTATAAAGACTTGACTATGATTAGAACAAAACTCAGCTGGTTCAGAAGTTTAGTTGTATTATGTCTTTCAAGAAGTGCTTCAAATGTTTTGATGTTTTGCATTCCTTACGAGCTACTTGTCTTGCAATCAGTCAAAAATAATGGCGATTTTCCTTGATTTTTTAACTCCTTTATATAATCCTATTTGTGTGAGACATCATGATGAAATCAGGTACTCATCAAAATAATGAAATTGAAGAAATCTGCATTTTTCTGCCGGTTTTGTAATTTTCACAGAATTTTTTATTTTTGACTCTACATCTTTTATGTCTATTTAATAGCACATTTCTGTGTGGATTTTACTGAAAAATGTTAATTAAAGGCACAAAAAATGTGAATTTTCAGTTTCCAGGGACTTTCAAGCTATGCAAGGTACCAACCTTTGGTGGCTATTTTCTCGCTAATTTTCCCCTGAAACCAGGACACCTCCATCTTCTCCAATTGCAATGTCTCATCTTATATTCAAGATAGTACTCGTGAGCAAGCTTGAAGATGATACTAAAAACTCGACACGCCCAAAAATTGATGAGCACCTGACAAATATTATTATTCAAGTGTCTGTTGCTTTGGTTCTTTTGTTTTTATTTAATCAACTTTCACATGACTTTAACGTTTTCAAAGAAGAAATGACAGTGCTCTTGAAAAAGGATTTGGCAGACAAATATAAATGTTGGTTTTTTACTTCATGGAGGAAAAGGATTGAGGAGGGGGGGGGGGGGGGGGGTTTCCTCATCTGCTATTAACCTTGTTTTTGACTTTCGGCAAGAATTTTGTTGTCATGTGTTAAGTGCCAACACACCTTTGTACTGGCTCCATGTTGATGAGAAGATGCGGCGCGGTTCTAATCGTCCACAGAACATGTCAGACTCATTGACAGACGACCCGACGCATATCATCAACATCGCCATCAAACGTCTCCACACGGACGAGGACGACAAGCTGGCCACACTCTTACAGGACTTTTGTCGCAGCAAGGTCAGGGTCCTTTGTGCCATTTTCCCCTCTCATCGGTCGTCCACTCCGTCTTAACATAAATTATTTTCTGTTTGCTCAAATTTTCTATGCTTAAAATGTCTTTCTGTCCAGGATGTAGTTACTGGATAAGCTGCATGGTCATAGAAAGATCTCCATTCTTCATGATCAGTCCTTTGCAAGTTTACTCAACTAGAAAGTAGGGAAAGTGGGTGGTTGGCAGGTGCTCAGGTGTAGTTTGCTTCTTCTTTCCTATCATACATTTATTGTACTTCCTCTTTGTGTTTCTTGCTCTCATGTAACACTTCTAATATTTGTCACTTATGGCCATACTGTGTTGCAAGTAACATAAAACTTCTACTTAAACAAAATGAAAGAAAAGTAGTGAGAGTGGGTGGTTGGCGGGTGCTCTGGTGTGGTTTGCTTCTTCTTTCCTATCAAACATCTATCGTCCTTATCTCTCCTTCTTCTTTTTTATGTTTGTTACTCTCTTGTAACACCTCTATCTTCTGGCGCTCATATGACCTTATGCAGTTGCGAGTGCAGTAATACCTCTACTAAAACTAAACTAAACTAAAAAGTTGTGAGGAAAGCTTTTGAATTATGCGTAATGTGTTGAGTGTGTTTCTAGGATGAAAACTACTGAGCTTGCAACACTTAACAATATTTTTCTGACATGGAGGCATATTTCAGTCTATGAAAACCTTAGTGTTTGTCAGAAAATATGTTCTAATACAACCTTATGAATAGATTCAGTAGACGTATACCATTGCTTTTGTCATATAGGATAATGAAATTCTTAAGTGAGCTAAATAAATAATAAATAGCATTAAATAGCATTAAATACCTGCTCAGATTTGACTAAAAATTATGTGTACCCGTATTTAAGTAAAAGTGGATACTGAATAGGTCACATGCTGTATCTTGGTCAATTGCTGGGCTTTTTCTGCCTTGTTTTTTCCATGCCACATTACACATGCCAGATATACTGTGTGGGTAGTTGGTGGGTGCTCTGGTGTGGTCTGCTCCTTCTTTCTTATCGTGTTAAATCTGTTGTCCTCATTTTTCCTCCGTCTTTTGTTTGTATGTATGTATGTTACATTCTTGTAACACCTGTAATCTTTGGCACTTCTATGACAAGACAGTGTTACAAGTGCAGTAAATGTCTTACTAAAACTAAATGTAAAATTTACTTGTTCTTTTCCTCTCCTTCATAATTCCCCCTGATTTGTACTTAGCCGAATGTATATTTGTTCAATTTGTGCACACAATGTATTGTTCAATTTGTGCACACAATGTCAACCAATTCTTTTTATTGTGCATTATTTCAGGAGGCAGCTTTGAACGCTAAAGGAATCCGGCGTGTGACGTTTGTGGTAGCAAACAGCGTAAGTGGCTGCTCCTGCATGGGGTTAAGATACACGCTGAATGTGTTATTGTGTGAACATGTTCAGTTTTCCTTTCTGCGATCAAACTTTGTTCTTGACTGGTGACAAGACTTCCGTTGTTATATTTTAAGTGCCAGCACATCCTTGCACTGGCTAAAAAATGATGAGAAATTTACACAACGCATTATATGTACGGGTGGTTGGCGAGTGCTCAGGTGTGATTTGCTCCTTCTTTCCTATCAAACATCTATTATCCATATTTCTCCTCCATTTTCATGTTTGTTACTCTCTTGTAACACTTCTAATCTTTGGCTCATAACCTAATTGTGTTTCAAGTGCTGTAAAATGCTTACCAAAACAACGTATGTGTTGTTTTTCTTGGACCACCTGTGATGTGTTTGTGCTCCCTTCACGTTACTGAGTGTTGAGTTGGGGTGGTGTGAAACGAGGGGAAGACTTTATGTTGATGAAGAAGTATTACCTATAGTATAATAAATTATTAAGAAGTCCACATATTAAGAAGTGAATTAGAAACAAAGTTTCATTATATTTCATGTTTTTGGTTGCCACATCTGTTTTAACATATTTATTGAGAATTATATAAATGTTTATTTTTCCTTTGTATCAATAGTGAAACAGGCCTGTTAAAGTGCATTTGTTTTTGACACTTACACAATCAAAATTTTGTTGATAGTGCAGTAAAACCTGTACTCATTCAAAGTCAACCGTTTTGTGTTTCTTAAAGCAGAATGTGCAGGACAAATAAAGTTAATCAAGTCTTTTCTCTTTAGTGAAAACTAGATACAGGGATAGGGGCGTTGTTGTTAACTTAGTCACCACGTTCAGCATATTTGAGTGGACTTTGGTTTAGTTTTACTTACACACTTTAAGTCTTTTCGCTGTGTGATGATGTTATAACATTGCTGTTTGCTTTGTTTTTCTTACAGAGGGCCATTCCAAAGTACTTCACATTCAGAGCCAAATTTGACGTAAGTCTTTGGGCATGTGATGGGTTTCTGGTGAGGTTTGCTCCTTCTTTCCTATCAAACATCTATCATCCTTACCTCCCCTTCTTCTTTTTTATGTTTGTTTCTCTCTTGTAACACCTCTAATCTTCTGGCGCTCATATGACCTTATGCTGTTGTGAGTGCTGTAAAACCTCTCCTGAAAAAGAGATTAAAAAATATCTCTCCTTCTTCCTTTTTTGTGTTAATTACTCTCTTGTAACTCCTCCAATCTTTGACACTTGTATGACTTAATTGTCTTTCAAGTGCCATAAAACTCTTGATTAAAACAAAAATGAAGCGAGTCTCCGGGTCATTAAAAATGTTTGCATCCTTCCAAGTGCAAATTAGCTTGGACATTTGTCCAGTAGTTATGCTCTTCTTTCTTCAAATTTTCCTTTGTAATGCTTTACTGAGGGAGGAGATGCATTAATAGGTAGTTGGGAGGACACCATAGGTAGGTCCTATTCCTTTTCTGTCCCTATCTTCTTTCTTTCTTTCATTCTTGTTTTTTTTTTCCTGAACTAAATTACCTTAGCTTCAATGTGTTTCCCTGTACTCAAACAGAAGAAGGTCCTTTGGCATTCTAGCTTTGGGTTTCGGTTATTTTAGAATAGAAAAAAAGAGTTCTTTGTTTGGTATTATTATTGTTATTCATGATTAACTTTTGTACTTCAGTCTCACTGACTTTTATCCTGTATTTTTATGTCTTTGGAAATACCAACAGAAATAGACATATGTGCCAATTGTATATTGATGGAGTGTTTTTCATGGTCTCCGTTGTTCAGTTCCGAGAGGACAGGATCTATCGGCACTTGGAACCAGCTCTCGCCTTCCAGCTGGAGATCAACAGACTAAGAAACTTTGAACTGGAGGCGATCCCCACCGCGAACCTCAAAATGCATCTGTACTTGGGAAAAGCCAAGGTGAGGGACGCTTTTTGCCTTAGAATGATACAGAGAGCCCCAAAGGCACACACACACACACACGCACGCACACACACACACACACACACTTAGAGGCACGCACAAATGCACACACTCACACACACACACAAACACATACAGGCACGCACAAATGCACACACTCACACACACACACAAACACATACAGGCACGCACAAATGCACACTCACACAGACACACACACAAACGAACAGACTCACTAGCACACACATGTGCACACACATATGTGAGGCATCATGGAGAAATCAGGCGCTGGTCAAAATAACAAAATTGGAGTAACATGTATTTGCCTACCAGTTTCGCAATTTCAATCAAATTTTTGTTTTTTTGTTCTACCCTTTTATGTCCAAATAAAAACACATTTCCATGTGAATTATAATGGAAAACGTTGATTAAAAGCTGAAAATATGTAATTTTTCAGGTTTCACTTAAGCTATTGAAGTTATCAAACTTTGGCGGTCATTTCCTCGCTATTTTTACAGCTGAAACCAAGTGAACGTACCTCTTTCTGTCACAAATATCTTCACTTCTACTCAAGATAAATGGGTATTTTGTCATTAAAAGCAAGATAAATGAACGAGCTTTAAGATGATACCAAGAACTCCACATGCACAAAAATTAACGAGAGCCTGATTCCACTGCGTCGTGACACATATTATGCACATGCACATCCACTCACGCACACACCAGGCACACACACACACACACACACATCATGCACCCAGGCACACACATACACTTTCTCTTCAAATGAAGATTCATCTTTTGATTCTTTTATTAATATTGATGTAATTTTTATGTATTTTTCCTCAGTTTTGAGTTATTTTTGGGTCCCCGCATTTGTCTCCCTTTCTTGTTCTAGCATCAGATCACCAGCTTGGGTAGTTGGCAGGTGCTCTGATGTGGTTTGCTCCTTCTTTCCTATGAAATATCTATCATCCTTATCTCTCCTCTCTTCTTTTTTTGTGTTTGTTACTCTCTTGTAGTACCTCTAATCTTTGACAGTATATAGCCTAATTGTGTTGAAAGTGCAGTAGAATTCTCTTTAAAACAAAAATAATCACTTTATTTGTGATTGATACACTTCTCTTATACTTAAATCAGTTTTGGTTGCTAGGCAAACTGTTGTGTTCCATTTCTTCAGATTTTAGTATGCCCGCTTTTCTCCTCATCATATTTTGTTTTCTTTTTCTTTTCAGGTGGCTAAAGGCCAAGAGGTGACGGACTACCGCTTTTTCGTCCGTTGTATCATCCGACATTCCGACTTGATCACAAAGGTATCTGTTCGCTCACTTTTTTAAAAAAATAGCGAAGAATCCACTGTAAATGAAATTTGACATTACTGTTGAAGTAATAGGACTTAATCATGTGATCATAAGTGGTACTTAATCTAATTTGCTTTTGTGTAGAATTATTTAGTAGGGTGATGGTTGTAGATGTCACTTTAATGGTCTGTGAGGTTGTTATTATATTTTAGCATTGGTCTCGGTGGGGGATGGACAGAAAATTGGGGGAAAAATCTCTTTTTGATTTCCTTTTTCTCCATCTGAATTTCACTGTATTGAATCGATATACTGCAAATACACGAAAGATTAAAACTTCTTTGTTAGTGGGATAACACACACGTATAGATGTATATGCTCTAATGTACGTGTGTGTGGCGTCGGTGGCCCAGTGGTTAGGCTCTCGGACTCGCAACCGTAAGGTCGTGGGTTCCAATCCCGTTAGGGGCCCGACGTTGTGTCCTTGGGAAAGGCACTTTGCACAAATTTTCCTCACTTCACCCAGGTGGAAATGGGTACCCAGCTATAGACAGAGAAAGATCTTGTCAGTTTGATAGTGTTTGAGCGCGTGAAATCCGCTGCTTGCACTGTAAGCTTCCTCGGAAGCTGAGAATGTTTCGGAGTGTTCTATGGTCTGCTGGGGTAATAATATAGTGTAAGGCGCCTAGAGCCTGCTGTTGAGCTGGGATATGCGCTATACAAATGCTATGTATTATTATTATTATTATTATTATTATATTTTAAAATATTTTTTCATTTACTCAGCCTCTTTCCCCTCCTTACATGTCTTTACTTTTCATGATTAGTAGACAACCAGGTGTGTCGCTGGTCAGGTGATACTTTGAGTCTAGAGGATTTGAACACATATCTAAAGGAAACCACTGAGAATGGGTCAGACTAAAGTGTGTTCTGACTGTTGTTTGTGTGTGTGTGTGTGTGTGCAGGAGGCGTCTTTTGAGTACCTGGAGAATGAGGGAGAGCGGACACTGCTGGAAGCCATGGACTCCCTGGAGGTGGCTTTCTCACACCAGTCGGTTAGTTGTGTAGTACTCTGTGTTTGTGTGTGTATGTGAGTGTGTGTTTGTGTGTGTATGTGATGATTGTGTGTTTTTGTGTGTGTGTGTGTTTGTGTTCGAGAGAAAGAGAGTTTATATGTGAGTGAGTCAATGAGTGTTGCTTTGATGAGAGCAGTAACGCACTCATTATTTTGTGAAGCTTACACGTGTGCTGTAACACACTCTTTCTATGTCACCTCCTTTGAGTTTGCTGTGTGACCTGTTTTGTGTAGTTGAATGATCAGGATATGTTTTCTGTGTTATGCTATAGATGTCTCTTTTGTATTTTATTGTGGCTGTCACAAGAAAAAGGAGTCTTGCTCTAAATGTTTTGCTTACCTTGTTTTGTAGAGATAACCAGGGCAACTGTTTTTTTCTCAGGCCTACGATGATGTTTATTTATTATTTTTAGTTTAATATTCGTGTTATATGTAGATGTTCTTTGTATCATAATTTTTAGATATTTGCTCTCAAATGTGTTGTGGAGATGTGTAAAAATATGTTTCGCAAACTCACTGTTTTAGAGATAAGAAACCTTTAGGCTTACTGCATGTTTATCTGAAGAATGACACTGTGTACTGAGTAGCCAGTGGGCTATTTTTCCTCAGAGCTAATTCTTGCAGATTGTCACCTCATAGGGAAAGAAAAGAGAAGTCAAAACTTTTGACTTTTGTGCAGAATTTGTTACCTGTCATGTTCTTGTTGTTTCTCAAATATGTGTCCGCAAGTGTGTCTTGTATGTTTGTTGCCTCTCTGATGTGATTCCTGTATGGATGTAGTGTTATACAGTTAATGGTCTGTGTCAGCACCCACAGCACGCAAGGGAGGATGTAGTGGATACATGTTGGCTTTCCTTTCATAATTGTGGCATTTTGTCAGGAAGAGAACCGACAGCAGGTTATACTTATTGTGTTGATCAAAATGAATTTGGTGGATTGAAAAAGCCTCTAGGTTAGAAGAAATATTTTTAGTTTGTGTCTTTGATGTTCTGAAAGATTCCAAGTCTCTAAATGAATTTTACATATTCATTTTGAGCTATTGTTGTAGTAAGTCTAGCCAAATGAAACCTCTGCTAAAGTATTTTTAGCAATGATCCTTTATAAGAGGTATACGATCTTTGATATTCATCAACAGATTACTGTATTTGTAGTTCAAGTATAGTTACCTTTCTGATCTCTAAGTGGGAATGTTCGTTATGGGAAGCTGGGGGTTGTGTTTTTAAAAATATTTTTCCTATTTGGGTGACTGTTAATGTCATGTGAAAGTATTGTGTTGTAGCTTCCATTATTGTCTAAAGCTCCCTTAAGGCTAATATATAAATGTGAAAGAATTTACGGCTCTCCTGTTGCGTTGGAATTAACTTTCTGCACTGTGCACCATGACCCCCCCACAGGTGTGTGGTGACAACAAAGTTGTAAAGGTACTCCTCTTTGTTACTGCCCGTTGCCTTTCCAGTTCCATTAGCTTTGTCCGATGTTTGCTCTTTGTTCTGTGGGAACGTAGAGGTAAAGACATAAAAATGGAAATAAATGAGAAAGCTCAAGACACAGCATTTGGCTATTTTTGCGTCTTGTTGTATGCTCTACTTTTTGGGCATTTTTTCCTGCACCATGAGAAACATTAAAAGAACTGTTGGTTGGTTGGGGTCTTTTTGGGACAAACTGTGATGTTGTTTAGACAAGAACAATGGTTTGGGTTAAAAGGACAGGGTTCTGTTTTCTTCCATTTTGAAGATTTAATTTTTTTTTCTCAAATTCCTTGCCTGTTTCGAGTGACACCATTTGAACACTATGACTCACGTTTCCTTGAGGCCTTAGCTAATTTTGTCTTTTTTCTGTATAGTTTGGATACTTTCCTTTTAAGAAGGCTTCTTGAGAAACATGTAGTACCATATAAAACAGATTTTCTGCAGACAATTTGTTTTAATTAGACCTGTTTTCCTCTGCTCCAGTAAGTCACAAGGTGGGCAGGTTGTTTTTTTCCTGTAAACACGTTTTGCTAATTTACATCAACTTTAGGTCAAAGTCTACTGGATGTTAAAAGAGAAGATGTCGTAGTCTCTTATGTAAATAACTGCTGGTGTATGAGCTTGTTGAGTTTATTGGTAGCGTTGAAATGAACTGCCATCCACTGACAAGTTATGTGTGAGTTATGCGGATGGCTTAAGTGTAACCCCTCCACCCCACCACCCCCCCTTCCCCCTATTTTTACCATCTCCAGTCCTCCTCTGCCTTCAACATAGACATGGTAAGATCCACTGCCCAGAGTTTCATTTCCCACCTTGTGCATATTTTACCATGCACCTTGGCCATGTTCCTGTCAGTTCTAGTGTGTCTCTGTTTCTGCTGCTGGGTAGAAATTGTTCTGAAACTGGCGTTCCTGAATTGACTGATTTTTTATGTTTAGTAGCAATAACATAGTGGGGTCAAAGGTTGGTCCTGTAGTGGCTGCTTTTGTCCTGAGCATGTGTATGAAAGGGTTACTAAAGATATTGTGTGTTAACTTCCTAATATGTACTAGTCAGATCAACACCTTTTCACTCCCCCCCCCCCCCGAAACCACAAAGGGGCTTTTTATTTAGTGCTGGCTGTTAGCCATATCTTGGGACAACAGTAGTTTTTATCATTGTACATACAAATTACAATGCTATATAGATGCATTGAGAAATTTTTTCATTTGTTCAGGAACAATATGTCCTGACGTCTTTGGGATTTGAGACGAAAACGCTTTGTTGAAAAAATGTTTTATTGGTACAATAAGAATGATAAAACTTTGCGTATTACAGAGAGTGGTAGCACTTGAGTGTTGTGAAGTGTGTACAAGTTCTGAGCCCTCTGTGCAGGTGATTGTGTGCCCTCAGACGCACTATTATACCTAGAGCCTGTGTGGACCTGTGTGTTTTGTCTTACTGAACACTTGTTTTGTGTCTCGTAAGCTCTGTTAGAAGCTCAGAGATATCAAAGAGTCAGTCTTTTTTTAAATCCAGATTTGACAAACGCAAAGAGTGTTTGGATGAATCTCTTGTGTGTGTCAATATTTGTCAGAATTCCACGCGGAATTGTTTATCAATTGTCCTCTTACTGAACTGTCACTTTAGTTGAATTCTGCTGATACAGTAGAACATGACTATAGCGGCACCCGCTACAGCAGGACCTTACCGGAATCCCCCTTTTTTCCTGTGTAAACTCAATTACTTATGCTTGGATATAACCAAAGAGTCTACATAACAAGAGGGGCCACTTCTCTCTTTGAGCCAATTAAAAAAGTGTCCTCAAAATTCGGTGGCGCCCTCTTTGCAAAAGCGCACCTTTAGCAAACAGAGTTATCCTACTTTAAAAAATCAAAGTGAAACTAGCAAGTTTTTTAATGAATTTCGGAAGAACGCTTTTTTAAAATGGTTACGCTGACAAAAAACCCTCTTCCGGAGGAAAGGGTGATTGTTTTCTTCGTTTAATTTGACTTTAGAGGTCATTAAAATTTTTAAAAACTAAAACTCTGTACTGAACGAACCCGAACTGCTGATGAACAGCAGTCGATCTGCGCACGCAAGGAGGTGCTATTCCTATTCTTCTTCTGGAAAAAGGAAAGAGAGCTTCAAAACAGACTGCAGCGCCATCTGAAGCAAAGAGCATACTTCCTGCGGACACTTTTTTGGCTGAGTGGCCCATCTTGTTATTTACTATCTTTGATATAACGGGGCAAGGAAAGTTCTGAACTCGGATACAGCGGGAGAGATCGAGCGAGCTCTAGCTAGAGAGTTGGGTATGGGGGGTGGCAGGCAGTCAGCGGTGCAGCATTGTGATTGGCCAGTCCAATGATGAATGAGGTGGGACAGGCGACAGAGAGGGATGGTGCGGAGAGACGTGTTACGTGAGCCACTCCAAAGTGATGTGCCATAGGCTAGCCCTAGCTGGAGAGTTGGGGGGGGGGAGCTGTAGGCGGGCTCCAAACAGGCAGTCAGCGGTGCGGCGTTGTGATTGACCAGTCCAGTAAAGCGTGAGGTGGGTCAGGCGGCAGAAAGAGATTGTGCGGAGAGACGCGTTGCGTTAGCCAATTCAGAATTTAAAGTGATGTGCCATAGCCTAGACACTCAGTACTGTATAAGAGCGTATAGACCCTAGCCCTAGGCCTAATGTAGGCCAAAAAATAAAAGAAGAGAAGTCTGTGTAGTGTGTGATTCCTGATTTATTGAATTGTGATGGTTGATGCTCAGGCATACGCACGCATCCACTTCACTAGGTCTACTGTTGGCCTACCAGTACAATAGACAGCACAAGTAATAAACTGAGGAAAAGATAGCTTCCAACAAAGACTAAAAGCAAGAACTGTAAAGGCGAGGTCAGCATTCAAGCAATTGTCAAAAGTCTGGAAAGCAAGCAACGTCTCACTGCACACCAAGATTCGACTCTTTAATTCCAATGTCAAGTCTGTGCTCCTCTAGGGCTGTGAAACTTGGAAGACAACAAAGACACTGCTGAATAAAGTCCAGACTTTCATCAACAGATGTATGAGGAGTATCCTAAGAATTAAGTGGCAGAATAGAATAAGAAATGAAGAGCTATGGGAAAGGACAGGACAAAAGGATATAGAAGTAGAAATAGGACTAAGAAAGTGGCGTTTGATGGGACACACCTTCAGAAAGCCCAGCGGAAACATCACATGACAGTCGCTGCAATGGAACCCACAGGGAGCTCGAGGCAGGGGTAGGCCACGAAAGACATGGAGGAGATGTGTGGAAAGGGACATGAGAAAGATGAAGCTCACTTGGAAGGAGCTGGGAAGGATGGCCCAGGATAGAAATAAATGGAAGGAGCTTGTATGTGGCCTGTACCCTGCCAGGGGTGAAAGGCATTGATGATGATGAACAAAGACTATAGGAAATGATTCTCACTCAAATTAAAGGTCGAGATAATCAACGAAGTTGACAAGAAAAGAAAAACTAATCTAAAGCTCAATTTTTCTAAATATGGAAGGGGGGTAATCATGTGGAGATATAGAAAATTTTCAGTTATTCTCCTTTGCATTCCTACAGGGGGGAACTCACCAAAAGCAGGTTTATTCATCTGGATCCAAAAGTCCTGCTAAAGCCGTGTTCTACTGTATTTTCCCATTTTGTTGTACTTTTCACGTTCAGCACTTCTCGGTGATGTGGTGGCGTACTTTCTTGTTGGATTTTGCTATTCTTTGATTTTTTAAAAACAATTATAATTTGATTTGATTTGATTTGGTTTTTATTTTCTTGGGAAGGGGGGTGGGGAGTGGATGGAAGGTTTAAGGGGTAAACGTATAGTTCTATCTTTTGTTTTAGCAGACATAATGATATAAACTCTTGATCTTGTCATTTTGCTATTTTTTTTGCTGGTGTGTTTGGGGTGAAATAAAAAAGTTCTCGAATGTGTGGTACATCTGAAGATAGGACAGATATAGATTTGTATGAGGAAAAGAAGAAATTTTGGTATATATGAAGGGAGACATAGATTTGCGCGAGGGAAAGAACTCTTCTTTATTTAGACTGGTCGACAAACGTTTTTGATGGCACCTCGTACTGTGACTTTTTGAATTGCTTTTTTTTTTCTAAATTGGTATTTGTTCTGGTGTTGTTGGTGTGCGCATCTTTTTTGTCCTTTCTTTCTATCACTCAGTTTTTTTCCCACTCAGATTTTTCCGTCCTGCAATTAGCTTATTGTGCTATTTTGAGTGCATTTCTTTGTTTTCGGAACCAGTCATGCCCTCAGTTGATGTACTGCGCGTGTATGTAGCCCTGCAGATATGAAATCTTGGTTCTGAGAGAGAGAAAGAGGGATTATTTATTTTGAATTTGTATGTTTTAAAGTACATTTTGCTGCTCTGTAGTTTTTGTGCTTTAAAGAAAAGAGGGGGTGAATGTTCATAGTTTTTTGAGTTTTTTTCTTTTGTCTTGCCATACTAGTTTATGTGAATAACATAATATGACTATACAAAGTATTCACTAGCAGATCTTATCAGCATTCTCCACCTACTGTAGGATAATAATCACAAACAAAAACTAAGAAGAACAGTGTGCATGGTGTGTTGTGATGATGGTTTTTGCGTCCACACTTTGCTGACAGTCTGTTCTGCGCCCTGACATGGGTGGTTAGCGAATTCTCTGGTGTGGTTTGCTCCTTCTTTCCTTTCAAAGATCTATTGTCCTGAGCTCTCCTCCTTTTTTGTGTGTGTGTGTTTTTTACTCTGTTGCAACAGCTCTAATCTTCGGCACTTATTTCATCTCGTTGTGTTGTAAATGCCATAAAACTCTGACTAAAACTTTTTAAAAACTGAGCCCTGACCTCAGTCAAGCATAAGTTTGTTGAGAAAATGTCTACTCACAATGTTGTTTGTGTCCCAGACTCACAATAACTTTCTGTAGATGTGATGCTACTTGTTCTTGAGCTCGGCATTCTTGTGATACCTGTGGCTGGTTGGTGTGTGCTCTGGTGTGGTTTGCTCCTTCTTTCCGATCAAACATCTTTCGTCCTTATCCCTCCTCCTCCTCCTTTTATTTGTGTGTTACTCTATAGTAACGCCTCTAATCTTTGGCACTCACATGACCTCTATTAGTGTTGCAAGTTCCATAAAACTCTTACTAAAACTAAAACTTGTTGTACCTACCCACCCCCCCCCAAAAAAAAAACACCAAAAAAACCCAACAACAAACAAACCAAAAAACCCCCCCCACAAACAAACAAGAAAACAACAACAAACAAACAACAGCAAAACAAAAAACATCTTTTTTCACCTCTGTCTGACAGTTGTTTTCTGGGTACTAATTCTTCATCTTCCGATTTCAGTGTATAATCCCTGCTATGAATGTAGCTTCATTTTAAGCTCTCTTTTTCTGTAGGCGGTCTTGTATTTGTCCATTTGTGTCTTCAAGTGATTTCGTTTCTTAGAAAAGAGGATACCCCCCCCCCTCTCTCTATCTGTTTCTCTTTCTCTTCCTCCCCCCTCCTGCCTTCTCTCACTCTCCTCCGGCTTCTGACTTGCTCTCTTCCAGTACCCTCTCTCAGACGGTCTGTACCACTCCTGAATAAATCTCTTGGCCTTACAATTTTAATGCTTCTGTTTTGTACACCCATAGACACACTCCTCATTTTGCTAGTAGTTGGAGGGGGGGGGGGGTGTGGCACTGGTGGGTCCCACTTATTGTTCTCCCCTTCGTTGTTTCTGTCTGTTTATCTCGCCTTTTCCAAGATCCTTTCACTCAGTGGTTGTTTTCATGTCAGTTTGCTTCTGTTTACTCAAACAAAGTGGGTAGTTGGAGGGCACCACTGGTAGGTCCTACCTCTTAACTTTCTCTCTGTTGTTTCTATCTGTCTGTCTTATTTTATCTCAGCACTAAATGACCATTATTATGTCAATTTGCTCTACTTTAATACACAAACTGAAACAAAACGAGATTGACACCCCCCAGTTTTACCCACTGTCAAACTCATTTCCCATGCTTTCCTTTGTGTTTCCACAGTCCAAAAAGACAGACTGCAACCACATCTTCCTCAACTTTGTACCCACGCTGACCTTGCAGGAACCGGGCAAGGTAAACGTTCAGTTTTCCTCATTGTCTACAGTCTAACATGACCTTTTTGCGTTGCAAGTGCTGCAAAACTCTTCTTAAAACTTAAGTGCTTGTCAACCCCTACCTTGGGATCGCTCCTTGGATAGTAGACCAGAGAACAGTTTTGCCACCTTTAGTTAGGAGGTTTTAATTTTTGTACTGCACACCTGCATTTCCATGCAGGGCACAAAATAGCACCTTTCACCACCGGGTTGATCCCCATCACCCACCAGAATTACCAAATTGCCCACCAGCGGGTGATACCACCCACTCTGGCAAGCACTTGTCTACAGGGACGCAGCTTCTTACTCAGTCGGATCCACACTGTACTTGTTCATAGTTTGACTATGTTTTTAAAACGTTTCCGTTGTCTCTCTATCTTCAACTGTATTTCTCACCAGCGTTTCTCACCTCTGTCCTTATGTCTATCGTTGCCTGTATTTTTCATCTGTCTCTCACCTCTAATCTCACATTTGTCACTTGTATTTTTGACCTGTATATCTCACCTCTATCCTCTGCCCTCACATCTCCCGACCTCAGTGCGTTATTGTCGTATCTCCATTTTTTTAAACAGTGAAAATGTGACATCTTCTTAAGCAAACTCTTTGATATGAACTGTTTTCACTGTTATTAAAAATGGGGATACGACAAGAAAGCACTGGGGTCGCGAAAACTGTCACCTGCATCTCTCAACTCCATGCTCAACTGTATCTTCACTGGTATTTCTCACCTCTTCCCTCACATCTGTCACCTGTATTTTTCACCTGTATCTCTCACCTCTAAACGCAACTGTGTCTTCACTGGTATTTATCACCTCTATCCTCACCTGTATTCCCCCCAGCTGGTAGAGACAGTGCGTAGTATGATCATGCGCTACGGCTCACGACTCTGGAAACTGAGAGTTCTCAATGCTGAGCTCAAATTTACTATCAGGTGAGCCACAGTTTTCTTGCTGTCGTTTAGTATTCTATGAATATTGGTTGTTCCTTTGGACTAGGGCCTAGTGTTACGCTGTAGTCAGCCTTTCTCTCTCGCTTTCTCTCTCTCTGTCTCTGTCTCTGTCTGTCTCTCTCACTCTGTCTCTCTCTATTTCAGTCTCTCCCACTCTCTCTCTCTCTGTCTCTATCTCTCTGTCTGTCTGTCTGCCTGTCTGTCTGTCTGTCTGCCTGCCTGCCTGCCTGCCTGCCTGCCTGCCTGCCTGCCTGCCTGCCTGTCTGTCTGCCTGCCTTTCTGTCTGTCTATCTGTCTGTCTGTCTCTGTCTGTCTGTCTATCTCTGTCTCTGTCTCTCTCTCTGTCTCTGTCTCCCTCCCTCCCTCCCTCCCTCCCTCCCTCCCTCCCTCCCTCTCTCTCTCTCTCTCTCTCTCTCTCTCTCTCTCTCTCTCTCTCTCTCTCTCTCACACACACACACACTCTCTCTCTCTCTCTCTCTCTCTCTCTCTCTCTCCCCACATTGTTAATGTAGGTTGTTGGAGAGCGCCATTGATGGGTCCTACTTCTTTTCTTTCCCTTTGTTGTTTCTGTCTGACTTTCTTCTTGCTGTTTTCCCTGCACAAAATGACTGCTATTTTGTTGATGTGTTTCTCTTTACTCAAACAAACAAACGAACAAACAAGGTTGTCCGAGGGTGCTCTCCACCCACTGTGGTCTCATTACAATGGAACTACTCTCTAAGTTGAGTCTGTGCAGCAGCATTTTTGTTATTGTGACCCTGATTTTTTTTGAATTTGTTTTAACTGACTCACCATTTAAACGACTTCTCTGGGTAGTTAGAGGGTGCTGCTGGTAGGTCTTGCTTCTTTTCAGTCACTGTTTTATTTCTGTCTGTTAGTCTTGCATTTCCCCCTGCACTCGATGTTCATTTTTGTGTTGATGATGTACTTTGCGTTACTCAAAGAAATCGAATGCCGACTCCGCTATGTGTCATCTATTCCTCCCCACCGCCAGAATCTACACGCTCGGCGGCGGTGCCAGCTTCCCAATCCGAGTGTTCATCACCAACGAGAGTGGATACTACCTGGACATCAGTTTGTACAGGGAGGTCACCGACCCCAGGACGGGACAAGTGAGTCATCCCAGTCCCTTCTGCTCTCTGTTTTAGAAAATAACAACTGGAAGATCATTATCATCATCATCACCATCACCATCATCGTCATCACGTTGTAATCATCATCATCACCACCATCACCATCATCATCATTGTCGTCATCATGTTATCATCATCATCATCATCATCATCGCCATCATCAGTGCCTTTCTCACCCTGGATCAGGGCATAGGCCACCTTCACAAACATTGTTCACTTTACCCTACCTTGTGATAGCTTCTTGACATTATTCCACATCCTCCTACTTTTCTGTACATCATTCTCTGTGAAACTTCTCCAGGTTTCACATGGCCTTCCCCTTGGATAGTAGACCAAGGTGAAGGTCACAGTGGAAGGATGTCGATGACATACTCATGAGGGGTCTTTACTTGTACCAATTTCTAAAAATACAGGGGGGATAAAAAGCTCAAGAGAAAATCAGGACCATGCAAAATTAGAAAATAAGAAGCCTACAAAGCGGAGCTATGTGGAAAATTTAATTTAAAAAACATTAGAAAATCTGTGGATTTAGTTTGCTCTGGCTCTCTGTAACTGCAACTCAACATGCATGTTGCCACAATAATTTTTTCTTTAGATGAGGGGGGAGGGTATTGCAATTATTTCCATATTAATCATTTCTCTTTCTATGAGAATTGCAATTTTTCTTTCTTTGACACTGATTTTCTCGTGAGCATTTTATCTCGATCATTCTCACAAAATTTGTTTTTTACTAGATCATGAGCATATAGCTGTCATTCTTTTGTGATTTTCCAAGAATATAAACTGGCTGTCAGTTTGGAGACAGTTTGCTTTGTTCTGTCTCGACCAGAATACCCTATCATGGGTGAATGCTCCTTTCTTGTTTCTCCATGGACTCCTGATTTCCTTAACACTTTGCAATCATATTTTGGGGAAAATCCAAAGAAACTGGGTAGTAACAAAGATAGTACAAGACAAGATGGGCCACTCAGCCTAAAAAGTGTCCGCAGGAAGTATGCTCTTTGCTTCAGATGGCGCTGCAGTCTGTTTTGAAGCTCTCTTTCGTTTTTCCAGAAGAAGAATAGGAATAGCACCTCCTTGCGTGCGCAGATCGACTGCTGTTCATCAGCAGTTCGGGTACGTTTAGTGCGGAGTTTTAGGGATTTTTTTGTTTTAATGACCTCTCGCCCTTCATTCTAAAGTCAAATTAAACAAAGAAAACCATCTCCATTTCCTCTGGAAGAGGTTTTTTGTCAGCGTAACCATTTTTAAAAAGCGTTCTTCCGAAATTTATCCCAAAACTTGCTAGTTTCACTTTGATTTTTTAAAACTCAAGTAGGATAACTCTGTTCGCAAAGAGTGCGCTTTTGTGAAGAGGGCGCCACCAAATTTTGAGGACACTTTTTTAATTGGCTCAAAGAGAGAAGTGGCCCATCTTGTCTTGTACCATCTTTGGTAGTAAACATCGCCAATCGGCAAGATGAGGTGGCAAATTAAATTCAATAATTCTACTGACAACACCCCGGGTGTACCTTTTTATTGCTCATTTGTCTCTTTTACTCAAAAGGGTTCTCTCTTCTCCTGCTTTAATTATTGTTCTAATGAATTGCAGGGATTTTACTGACAGCCCCCAACTTTCCCACCCCTCATGTACCTTTTTATGGCTTATTTGTCTCTTTTACTCTGAAGAGTTATCTTTTTCTCTCCCGCTTTAATTACTATTCAAATGAAATGCTTTGATCCCCCTCTCTGAAGAGTTATCTTTTTCTCTCCCGCTTTAATTACTATTCAAATGAAATGCTTTGATCCCCCTCTCTGAAGAGTTATCTTTTTCTCTCCCGTTTTAATTACTATTCAAATGAAATGCTTTGATCCCCCTCTCTGAAGAGTTATCTTTTTCTCTCCCGCTTTAATTACTATTCAAATGAAATGCTTTGATCCCCCTCTCTGAAGAGTTATCTTTTTCTCTCCCGCTTTAATTACTATTCAAATGAAATGCTTTGATCCCCCTCTCTGAAGAGTTATCTTTTTCTCTCCCGCTTTAATTACTATTCAAATGAAATGCTTTGATTCCCCAACCCTTTTGTACCTATTTATGGCCCACTGATCTTATTTTAACCTGAAGGGTTCTTTTTTCTTCTCCTGCATTGATTATTATTCAAATTTTTAGAATTTAATAAACACAAAAATAAAAGTTTTGTCTACTGCGTGTTGGTATTCGAGTGTGCTTTTTTCAACCACAGATAATGTTTGAGGCGTACGGAGAGAAACAAGGTCCCCTGCACGGTCTGCTCATCAGCACCCCTTACTTGACCAAGGACCATCTGCAGCTCAAACGCTACCAGGCTCAGTCCTCGGGCACCACCTACGTCTATGACTTCCCAGAAATGTTCAGACAGGTCAGTTTTGAAGGGGGGGGGGGGGGGGGGGGGGGGATGAGGAGATGTCATTTTATTTGTCCTTTTCTGAAAATTTGTCTTACAATGGCCAGTTTGAATACATGGACATGGTTTAAATCATGACATGCAAATAGAAATAAGTCAACAAATTTACGCAAGAGTATACAGTACTTGTTCTTTTCCACAATGCCAAACCACATAAAATCTTACTAAACTGAAACGGATACCTTATTGTGAGCTTGAGTTAAAGTATTTTGCTCTGGCATTGTTTGACATTTCTATGTTTGACAAAGTTTTTTTTCTTTTCTGCAACTAGGGTCTCACTATGTATGTATGTGTGTGTGTGTGTGTGTGTGTGTGTGTGTGTTTTGATGTGTGTACACTGAATTTCTGTTGATGCTTTTAGCAGACCAGTCAAAGGATGGTCCTGGTGTAGGTCCTTATTTTTTACTCTCCCACTGTTGTTTGTATCTGTTAGTCTTGCTTTTTCCTCAGTCCAAATTACCATTATTTTATTAATGTTCTGGATGTGTTTACAGCCCTGTTTCTTATCAAACTGTATAAAATGATGTTGAAAGGGGCTTAAAGCAGCGTCTAAATCTCTACCTTTATGTTCAGGCCCTGCTCAAGATGTGGGAGTTCCACCAGAAGCTACACAAGATGGAGTCCGACTCACGGCCTTTGGATGTTGTCACCTGTAAAGAGCTGGTGTTGGGCAGTCATGGTCATCTCTGTACCCAAAACAGACTGCCAGGAGAGAATGAGGTCAGAATTTTTACTCACTCACTCACTATTAACTCATCCACTCACTCACACGGCTTGAAGTACGTAGTGGAGTGTGTGGCCATGCTGGCTGAATTTTACTGGATGTTGTTGTTGTTAGCGATCCAGTGGCATCTGAGCGTTAACTCTTCTGCATGATGCCATTCGGTAATAATTGCATGTTTGTTATAATTGTTGTCTTGAGGAGTAGAGGCAATTAGATGTGTGGGGTAGCTTGGGAAGAAAACATTCCCTTAAATCAGTTAGTTTTCAACAGAAGAACAGATGATGTTCCACTGTCTCTGAGGGGTAGTAACATAGTGCAGCAGACTGCTTTACTCCAATTCGGTTGAGATGTTGGTTGAGGGGTACATGTTGTGTTCTAAGTTGGAAGATTATGGATTGATCTCCCCTCCTCAACTCATTGATTGGATCTTTGACCAGTGGTTTATTCATGTGGCCATACATCCTCCTACCTGTCGTACCTGTGGCCCAATCATTCATCCACTCTTCCTTGAGGTTTGACTTGATCATTTGGCAGCAGGTGGTGTAATTCGTAGGAATTTCAGGCTGAGGGAGGCTAGCTCCTTTCTTTGCCAGAGCATCAGCTCTTTCATTTCCCGGTATCCCAGTGTGGGCAGAAATCCATTGTAGGACTACTCTGACGTGGTGCCTACTTATCAAATTATGTAGACTCCAAATCAAGTGCAATATATCTTTGTTCACATCAGTCTCACTCTCAAGTGTCTCTAGTGTTGAAAGGCTGTCTGTAAAGATAACGATGTCTGTGGTAGCAAGTGGGTTAGTGTCAAACAAGTAGTTGATGTAGTTTGCTGTGTTGGTGATAGCCTGTTGTTCGGCAATGAAATTGGAGCAGAAGGACCCGCTGGAATTAAAGACTTCTTTTTTTTATCCCACTGGGCAAGTTGATCACTGACCCATATCCAGCGTTGATTGTTGCCTTAAAGGCAGATCCATCAGTGTATGAGTGGATCCATGTTGGTGGATAGGAATCAATGGTTTCAAGGGCAGAATGTTTTAGTGCTACAGGATATGTGTTTTTATTGCTCTTGTCCAAAAGTGTTTTCCTAATTTCTGGCTTTGCTATGGTGAGATGTGGTGGGAGAGTTGAGGGAACTCTTTCAAGAGGTTCTCGTCTTTCAGGAAGGTGATGCTTTTCTTGGAGATTGAGAACAGTGTCCAGTACAGATTTTGTATTTTTTAGTCTTTGATTAGGTTTCCTCTTGTCAACAAGGATTCTATTAGGGTGGTTATTTTCTAGCCTTTTAAATCTTTCATATACTTCTAAGGCTGCCCGTTTTCTTCGAGTTTCTAATGGCTCAATATTTGTGTAGATTTCACAGGCCGCAGTCGGTGAGGTTCTCATTCCGCCAGAGATAAGACGAAGAGCTTAGTTTTGGATGGTGTCCATTGAGTTCTTTGTAGTTTTACTGCAAATGTTTTGTAGAACAAGATTATAATGTTACTGGATGAATATTTGCAAATGCCAACTGATGGAAAAGGTTAATGGTTTTCAGAGCTGAGTGAAATAAGCTGTTTATTTTGTATGGACAGTACACATGAATGAATATTACAGCATTGATTTCGAGTTGCGATTTTTTGTTCTCTACTTTCGTTGTTCACTAGCAATGTCTTTCAAGTGTTTGTTTTCTTTTTGTTCTTTTATTTGACCAGGTGTCTGACTGTTCATTTGTCTAATTGTTTTGTCTGAGAATGCATCAGTCCCTCTGTTAGTTTGCCAATCTATTTTAGTTTCTGCAGCAACAGTTTTTCCTGCATGAGGTAATGTGCTAGATCGTATTCCTGCATATAGCAGTATTATTGTTAAAGTAAGACAGGTTTTTTAATGTTATATCAATAATCAAACCGCGTTGATAGGGGCGTTTAACCTGTACCATTTTGAATGTTATAGTTTGATGAGAGCACAATAACCCTGCGCCCCTTTCCAGACCATGAGTTACATTTCCCAGGGATTTTTTTCCTCTCCAGATTGGTATGGTTGCCTGGAAGGTGACCCTGAAGACACCAGAGTTTCCTGCAGGAAGGGATATAATCCTCATTGCCAACGATATGACACATAAGATCGGATCTTTCGGCCCTCAGGAAGATTTGTTGTTCAAGGTTAGTTTTAAGTTTTAAATACTTTCTGAGGCTCTTGTTCTAAATGCAAAATTCTTTGTTAGAGTAGGGGTTCATAGACTGTGGAGAAAGTAACGGGGTGCGTTGTACTGGACAATGCTTGAGAAGTGACTCTGCTGATCAGCTCACTGTGCAAGTTCAGTTTTGTAAGAAGCATAATTGAAAGTCTATACTATCTGCACTTGAGTCAGTTACTTGAGTGGGTGGTTGGTGGGTGCTCTGGTGTGGTTTTCTCTTTCTTTACTTTCAAACATCTTTCGTCCTTATCTCTCCGCCATCTTTTCTTTGAATATTATTCTTTTGTAACATGTCTAATCTTGAAAACTTATATGACCTATGTGTGTAGCAAGTGCCATAAAACTCTTACTAAAACTAAACTAACTAAAGTTACTTGACCAATAATTTGTAAAAATTATAACAGGTCAAATTACCATATATGCAATCATCAACCATGATCAGTCATTTCTACGGGACTAAGTATGATGCTTTTTATCTTTTCCCTATGTCCAGAGAGCCTCGGAGCTGTCTCGTAAGCTGGGCATCCCTCGTGTCTACATCTCAGCCAACAGCGGCGCTCGCCTGGGGGTGGCCGAGGAGATCAAACATCTGTTCAGAGTGGCCTGGGTTGACCCCAAGGACCCTGAAAAGGTCAGTGGCTGATATTGTGCTCTCTTTTGTCTCACCCTTCTGAAAGTGACCGTTTTTATTTTGTCGTCAACTTTCTGGAAAATTTCCAGAATGCAGATTTGTCTGATGTTCTACCCTTTTTAAAAACTTGTCCTTTGTGACTGTTACATATATGGCCTATCGATTGGGTGTTGTGGTGTGGTCTGCTGCTTCTGCTTCTTTTCAGCGTTTCTGTTGTCCAATTGTAAACCCCCCCCAGGCGGTGCTACTGACTGAAGTGTCTTTAGGCCATTCCCAAAGGGGGGGACATTTACATCTCGAGTTCTTATGCACGGTAGAATCGTAATTGTAAATGGGCTGATTCATCAATGTCATGTTCATAACTCTGCCTGAACTGCAACAGGGAATTGCTGCTTTTTCTTTCTTAAT